CTCTCTCTCTCTCTCTCTCTGAGAGATGCTTTTCATTTCCCCATTATTAATTTCATACACGCACACCATGCTTTTACTCACATACCCCTTCAAGGTTCCTTTGTTGTCAAGGATTCCTTCCTTCTCCCCTTCTTCCTGTTTTTCCTCCCACACGGCCTGCCAGGATCCTGCTGTCAAGAAGTAAAGAAAGAGTAAAAACCCAATTTTGGCTTCAAGCCAGAAACAAATTTGCCAGGGTCAATCTTTCATCAATTTTCAAGCCCGATAACATAAACTGCGTTAAAAAATGAAGTTCCTCCAGGGACAAACTAGTAGTAATTCTGAAAAATCCAACCTTCCTAGATTTGTGATGGATACCATCCTACCGGCCTAGCCATTAGCAACTTGCATTTGACAACGAGCAGAACATGGCCTTTGATAATTGCAACTAGAGGCAGGCTCCATGGAAAAGAGGTTGAAATGATGCTATGCTAGATTTCCACTTGAACATTAACATTTTCTTTCTCTATATTAAATCAACAATCATGTGATGGCCACTCCAAAAATAAATGATGACCACATCCTTTCCATTATAGAGTGCCCATTTCAAACTTGAACGCCACCCACCATTGAAGAACTCAAACAAACATGCACAGGTCACACGGCTGCTTTGGATGCTAGAGAAGCTAGATTTACTAGCAGGGCTATAAAAGAAAGAGTAAAAACTGCATCTGGGCTTCGATTAGTTCCCTCCTGTTACAATTTTGTCGTTGGCCAGATTACTTTTTTTACCTCTTAAAAAATCATGATCCATAGGGAGATTGACGTTGGAAGATGAGGGCTACTGTTGGCTGTATTATCTGTTTAAAGAATTGACAGGCGATGAGGTCTCTCTTTGATGCCTTTTTCTTCGTCTTTCCTATTGGCCCTGTTCATTTAACATTTGTAGCAACTAGCAAGGTTGTTGTTGAGTGAACCGCCAAATATTCTATATACCTCTAACCCTAGGCCATGGATTTGTTTAGTTTTAATGAACTTTTTTAAAATTTGTTTTTTATTTACTTGTTTCTGTGTATATAATTTTTTTAAAAAAATATTAAGGATTATACAGAAAAAATACTTGGTAATATTATTATAAAAATATTATAATTTTATTTAAAAACAATGTGAAATTTAAATGGTATTTAATCAAATAATATCCTAAAAACACATCAAATTAATTTATTTTAATAAACTTCAATTTACATATGAAAAAAAAAAGGTAGACATTGTTTTACCTTTTTTATTTAAATTTTAAAATGATAATATTTTGAATCAAGCTGGGTCAATTTAAGTTAACTTACTATCTAGATCATATGCTTGGTTGGGTTGAATAATTCTTTTTAATTTTATTTTTTATTTAATTATACAATACTAAAAATAGATATTCATAAGAAAGTTACTAAATAAAATTAAAAAGAATATAGAATTGCATAAAAAGAATGTTATAATCTTATTTAAAAACAAAATATAAACTGAATTGTATTTAACAGGCAAGATTGTTGACCAGTAAGACCAAGCTTGCTTACCTTTATTTTTCTCTTTTTTTTTTTTTGTTGCTTACCTTTATTTTTCTCTTTTTTTTTTGGCTTGGTTTAAGAGGTGTATGACATGTCATCAATCTTTTTTTTTTTTTTTTAAGAAGATGACGCTTCATCTGCTTGTTTAGATTTTGAACACCAAAGAGGTTACTAGAAAATTAGAGCAGAGCCTTTTCGATTAAAAAAACCTAATAAACATCATTGCAATGTTAATAAACTAATCTCTCAACTTCAAAAACCTCTAAATAGGATAAAAAAATAAGTAAAATTGAAAAAATTCTCTTAATCTTGATCTTTTTTTTCTGATAAGATAAAGGGTAAGAAATATCTTAAATGAATATTTTTCGTCAAATGAAATTTATTGACAGCAAAAATAATTTTTTTCATGAAATATAGTCAATCAAGAATTTTTTTTCTGTGCCGTTTTATTTTCTAATGATTTTCTTTTTTTTTTTCTTAAATTTAAAGATTGAAACGTGAACAAAATAAAGTCTTGTATCGAACAATAAAATTCGAGGACTAAAGGGTCTAAAACAAAGTCAATGAACAATATAGAAACTAAAAATAATTTTTTTAATGCAAATTTGGAATGGGCCACCTTGGTTTTTTTCTCTGTTTGGTCTTTATTTTTCTAATTGCATCTCAATTCTACAAATTAAAACCATACCTCATGAAATTGACTCGAAATCAAATTTTAATCAAAACCTTTACATCTCAAATAAATATAAAAAAACATAATTATTAATTAAAAAACATATAAAATAGAACACAAAAAATTAAAATTAAAAAAGAATCAATGATTAAAATAAAAGGAGTTTCACCATTGTAGTTTGGAGAGAGCTATTATGCATGTCTATTGTTGAAAATAACTAAGCTTTTTAAGGTCTTTTTTTTTTATTTACTATACTTGTAATATGATGTATTTTACTTGAATTAGGTGAAAATAACTAAGCTTTTTAAGGTCTTTATTTATTTACCATACCTCTAATATGATGTATTTTACTTGAATTAAGTCAAAGGGCTTGAAAATCAAAATACAGAAGGTGGTCTTATCTTCGCCCGAAAACTAATTTACTAAGCCTTGTGATTCGTAGACCTATTTGTGAAGCAACAAGGGGCCAGCGATCTCAAATTCATGAAGGGTTTGAAAATGCAAAAGCTAGCTATTAGTTAACAAAGCAAGTTGCCAAATTAGCTAGAGCCATATAGCCAGCAAATGTCAATGAACTACATAATACTTCAATTTAAATTAATATTTGATATTTATTTATTACGTGGGCTCTCCAACATCCAATGAGCTTGTACAGGCTTCTTGTAAGAGATGTGCCCAGCAATGAAGCATAAGTTAATTGGTCTCTGAACAGAAAGGCTAGGTAGCCACTTTTCCATGATCCAATAAGCTCGAAGTCTTCTCACGTGTTGAATACATCGAACCGAACCAGAGACCACTCAAGTGGTTATGGCTACTCCACCGAGGTGAACATCAGAGAATATCCATCCACCTTCCAAGTATTCACGTCATTAAGCATTAGCTTACCTGTTGGGGTTGGACTTTCTGTATGTATTTTGTTTTTTTTTAAAGTTGGGGTTGGACTTTCTGTATGTATTTTTTTTTTTTTAAATATTTTTGAATTTTTTTAAATTAATTTTTTTTATGTTTTTAAATTGATTTGATGTGCTGGTTTTAAAAATAATTTAAAAAATAAAAAATATTATTTAATACTTTAAAAACAAACATTCCCTTACCCTTTGGGCTTGGATTTGGACCAAGTCAAGAACTTAGCCGCTACTGCAATCTTATCACCCTTATCTCAATGGGCCGGGTTGCTTCTGTTGGGCTCAAGCGGTGACCCAGCATTGTCTTTTTCTTCTTTATAAAGCAAAGCAAAACGAACTGTTACAAACGACTATAAAGCCTCCCCAGCTGCCGTTGCATCTGCAAATCCAACTGGGCCAGTTAGTTCATCCTGAAGAAACTGATTGCCGAATTAATTCTTAGTTGTTTTAGAATATATTAATTGTTTTTTAATATTTTTTAATTTAAAAATATATTAAATAATATTTTTTATTTTTAAAATTTTATTTAACATTAGGACATCATTGATTTAAAAATATAAAAAATATTAATTTGATAAAACAATAAAATAAATTTAATTTTTTTTAATAATACTTTTTTTTAAACAAACAAACAAACCTGAAGTAAATAGCCATATATGTACTTGATGTAGTAATTATTTAAAAATCATGATGTTTATTGAGTTAAACTAAATGTTTGATATTCAAGACTTCACTAATTTTATATATATACTTTGATAACTCATAATTAAAATAATTTTTTTTGAAAAAGTCATATAAATAAAGCTGAGCTGGCATAAGGATAGTCCAAAGTGTGTTTATATACATGTATATATTAGAGGAACTTCTAAAATGGATAAAGTGAAAAATCATAATTTTTTTATAAGCATATTTAGAAATTAAAAATATCTCTTGTTACAACAATTTTTTTTTTAATATATATATATATTTACAAATTGAGCAAGAGAGTGTTTTTTTAGCGTATGTTAATAGTTGTTTTGACAATAAAATAAAATGAATTATGTATCATTATTATGTTAAAAATAAATTTAGTTTTATTATAAAATGAAAATAAATGTGATAATAAATAATACAATATATTTCTAGTAACTTAAAATAAATTATTGATCATTGTTATCCATTTTGCAGTAAATGTTTTTTTATATAAAAACTACTTTTTGAATAATTTGAACTATGCATGCATGATATTCAATTAAGATAGCAAGGACACTATAAAAAATTTTACAAGCTAAAGATTCTAGTGTGAAAAAATATATAATCGACAAACTCTAGATTTCAAGATGAAAAATGTAATTAATCAAGTTCAAGATTTTTAATTTATCTTGCATAATATTTATACTGAAAGAAGATTTCGAGTAATTGTGATTGTTAAAAAACTACTATCAATTTAAAAAGATTTTTAAAACTATTTTATACATAAGCTCAAGGAGATAGGAGGTAAAGATTTGAGGTTAAGAATATAAAAAAACAAGAATCGATACTTTCAAACATTATTTAAACATGCGATGAAGAATCATAATAAAAAATTAAAAGAATAAGCTTGCTATGAATATGACAACTATTATAACCAAGCATGTGAATACTAAGCTGTCTAGAAAAAGAATCAACACCTTCAAACGTTGTTTGAACATGTAATAAAGAATCATAATAAAAATAAAAGAACAAACTTGCCATGAATGTAACGAATATTGTAACCAGAATGATAATAATAATAATGCCTCTTCTTCAATTTTGTTTAATACTTGGTTGTTAAACTGAATCAAGCAAGTCAGTCGAATTCTACATGCGTTTGGTGATTTTGATCAGCCATGAGCAGCTGTAGTGTTCTTGATTGGCAGTTTTGTCTCTCAGAAAAACCTTAAAACTCTTCTGCTTGGATTGGATATTTATAGATGGTATGGCATTTGATTCAGTGACCATCTGGAATGACAATTAGAATAGAACAAGTTGCCTTCAAAACATAGTTCTTACTTTGAATGAATGAGCCTACCCTAGCTAGCTGCCTCACCCATCATTTGCATGGGATTTCTACTTGTTCATGGATTGCTCCACAGATCAGGCACTTTCAATCTCTTCCCACCTTCTCTCCAGCTTTTATCAAGATTTGGGTAATTCTTCTCCAGCTAAGAATGATCTGAAAAGAATGAAAGCTCTTCTAGGTTGAAATAAGGGAACTTCATGGCCTGCTCCTCTCACAGTTGCAAAGGTTAGCCCCTTGTAAACTTCTGTCCATCCTCCAACCTGTATCATAGGTTGAACTGTAAGTTGATTCTGCTATAAAATAGCAACTAAAATCAAACTTGAAGAGCAGTTAAAAACTACTCTAATGAGACACTTTGTGCATTACCTGGTCTCCTGAATACCAAGGATACCACCTAGTTTTAACTGTGAGATTAAGGTGGCTGAGGGAAAACCTGGTGGCAGTCACCGGAACCACCGAATCTGTATCACCACTGCATCAAGAGAGAAACGAAGTCATCAAGTAACATCACTCTGCCATGGCTAGTGGATGTGAAAAACATATGTTGATGGCCCAAAAGTTCAGTATCAACTCCAGACAACCAATCAGAAACTCCCCTTTGACAGTCAAACACTTTCCCTCTCTAGAGCCCTATCTTCTACAGTAACAGAATTTGCAATCCAAAAAATAAGACGTTCAATCCATAGTTATTTATGTGATTTGACACATTTCACTTTTGGAAAACTGTATCTTTCTGCTTAACAAATTAATTCCAACAACATAATTAACCAATGCTATACTTGTCAACTGGAACACAAAAAAAATTACCTGAAAACCCAGATCCTTAAACCAGCTGCAATGAGATCCTTGTATACGGGTAACATAGAAGATTCAGAATCCTTCCAGTTTTTAATAAGAACATCGCTGCCAAATAACAAATTTTATCATGCAGATCAAAGAAGAAGCAGAGTATCATTTCCTTTGTGTGTTTTTTTTTTCAATTGCAAAAAATATAAAGTTGGTAGAAGAAGCAGAGTATCATTTCCTTTGTGTTTATTTTTCAATTGCAAAAAATATAAAGTTGGCAGAGGAACCACGATATACCTGCAAGCAGTCCATTTGTAAGGAATTCCAGTAACATTAGCATGCATTGCCTTCTGCACTTCAGGTCGATTATAGTATTTTTCTGCATATTTCTCAGTACATGGATCATAACCAGAAACCCTTCTGCGCAGCAGAGTATTTTTCAACCTTACAGTACTGTTTGGCAGGTGCATACAAGATGGTGTATAAATGCTGTATTGATCAATATCCCCAAATTCATGGTTCATTGCATAAGTCACAACATCATCACATTTGTTAGAGGCTGTCTCTTCCGTGAAATTGCAATTGTCAAGAATTGCTCGATAAGTCCGATCCGATATCATTGAATGCGTCCACCAAAATGCAACAGTTCCTATGCTATCATAGTAGTTATCCGTGACTGCATTTCCCACCTGTATAAATATTTGATCACTTGAAACTTCGTATTTTCTTGAACTTGCAGTCGACTTAGTCCTACAATATTTTTCAAATTTGCAAATATATTTCACTCACAATGAATCCTTTGAGATTGATGATGGGGTGTGGATATGCTTTATTATAATCATGGATTTTCTTTGCCAACTGGGGAACATAATGCCCTAAGCAGATGAAAATAAGATTAGAACATTAGTTAGCTAGTCTGAACAAAGGTATCATCCCAAGATTCTTAAGAAACAAATATTTAGTTTCTTTATGTATTGCTGCTTAAACACCTGCATAACTTTCACCAGCAATATAGAATTCTCTATATTTGTATTGAGGAAATCTTGACATCCATCTTGTAAGAAAAACCAGAGCATCTTGAGCTGTTTCATGAAAGGGAAACTTATGATCACATGAGATGAGCATGACCACTTAAATCTGTGTCAGTAAATGTAACTATTATAGATGATACAATAAATACCTGTCCTTTTGTCGCCAGAATCTTTAAGATTAGAGCTTGTGTTTGTGTATGAGAATCCCACACCAGCTGGTGACTCCAGGAAAAGAATATTTGCTTCTGTAAACATATAAAGCAAAATGATTTCAACACGAGAAAACTCTAACAAGGTTGATGAGTAAATATTTTTTTTTTTGAAGATCATAAAAAATAAACAATGTTTTATATGAGAAAGAAATAAAAAAAGTATTCTTGCATCATAGTTTTTAATTACCTTTGTTCCATGAATATTTGTTCATATAAAGAGATAAACCAGTTCTGTTTATCCGAAACGGTCCGATTTCTTCTGATGCTCCATATGCCACTGAAGAACAACCTGGTCCTGCACACACATGATTAATTATTTTTCCCATACTTAAATATTGGAAGTCGAAGCTAGGCATGGAAATATTGACCAGAAGCAATTGAAAATTACTTAGGCATAGTATATCTAGTCTTCATAACACAACAATCATTTTAGTTATGATTAATATCAGTATTAAGAAAAAGGCAGTAACTAAGATTATTGGTTTCCCATTGTAATAAACTAATGTACGAATTATTCACAAAAATTGGGTAAAATTTAGAAATAAAAGAGGAAAAAAATAAAATGGATTTTTTTTTAATTTTTAATGCCAACATGTCAAAATCATAAACAAATATTAATTTAATATTTTTTTCAAAATAAATTTACTTTTAAAAAACATATATAAAGGAAATCTTAACCTACAGATTACAGAGCAAAAATTTCCAGTACTCTTCATTCTAAAATGTCAATAGTTGAACAAATTTCGGCAAGTTCAAATGTCACTTTATTAGCCGTTGAAATGCATATTCCAAGTGATATACGATTACATGATATCACTTCAATCTTTTCACAAACAACATCAATAATTTATTATTTTATTTTTATTCGAGAAATTGTTGATAAAGTAAATTTCACTGTTATAGTTAATTAATTAGACAATGGATTAAAAAAAAAGAAGGAATTATCACTTCATTTTGTTTTAATGCATGTTTCGGGTTCCATTATGAATACAAGAGCGTCCCGTCCCACAGTAATATTATTTATTGTTGCTGTTCTTTCTTTCTAGTGCTTTGTCTTGATCTGAGAATTTTCAAATTCCTCCTCCATTTGTAGGTCACCAGAAACCACCATCATCACCATCATCATCATCATCACCGTGACCATTTTCTTCTTCTGAATGCGCGTGCTTCAAAGAAAGAAGTTACACAGACTCATAGTTGCCAGGAGTTTCTATCTTCCACTACTTTTTATTCCTTCTCCGACCGATCGAGGTCACCTCAAACGAGCAAGACAAAAACAACGGAGACAAAGAGAGAGGGAAGCACCCTTTTTCTTGGATAACAATAATAATAATATGGAAACCATTGACGACATAAAAAAGTTGGTTCACTTTATGGTGCCTTTTCGGGGGTGTTTTCTTTTGCTTGCACTATGAATCACAAGAGAGAGAGAGAGAAATCGAAAGAAAGTGACTGAAAAACTCATGGTGCTTGGCCCTATTGAGACACTGGAGCTGTTCTAAAGGTGGAATAAAACCCTCAACAGACCCAGACAGAGAGATCACGAGAGCCCATTTGGCTTATTTTTTTTGGGTTTTTGTTGTACCTAAACAGTCGTTTTTCCTTTCTGTACTGGCTAATAATGACATTAGTAATTTCAGCATGCAAAAATACTGATAGAATGGGGGCGGGAATTAAGGCCCAGGGCAGAGTGTGCTATGTGTTGTTGACTGGCTTCTGGGCATGTCGTCATGTACAAGAGGTTAGGCAGGAGTGGGACTATACTTTGGCATGCACGTTTCCTTCATTTATTGAGAGGCACAAATATTTTGGATCATCATTAAGGCATTATTATTCAAAATAACATCAATAAATAATTATTTAAGAACCTTGCTTAACTCACACCAAATCATAAATGGTGAGATAGAGCGACTAATTAATTAGCTTCATGGAATAGTTGAACATGGTTTTGACTGCTACTTGCTTGCATCTTTCTCTCTTTTTTTTTTTTTAACTCGTTTCCACAACTAAAAGGAAGACAATCGAATCCTTGAAGGATTCTGCTTAAAGTCAACCATATCAAGCTATGGAATTAATTAAAAAAATGTAGTAGAAATCACAATTGATTTGATCCCAATTAACACTGTTCTTTCTCGTTCCCTAGCAAGTATAGCTTAATAATTTATGTTGTGTACTTCAATTGAAACCGGTTCATATTAAGATGATAGCCAAGAAAGCATACAAGGTACATTCAAGGAAGAGTATAATTTAGCTAGTTAAACTGACCTCCATTGAGCCAAAGAACGAGAGGTTTCTTGTTAGGAATTGCTGCAGCTTCTGTCAACCAGTAAAAGAGTGCACGCCCATGTTTCTCATTGACAGTAACATAGCCAGAAAACTGTGAAAACGTGACTGCTGGTTGACCAGGGAGAGCTGAGATTCGATCTAGCTCTTGCTGTTTTGTCAAAGCAACAATGGTGGCGGCGAGTGAAGATACGAGAAGCAAGGACAAGATCAAGAGATGGGATTTTGTTTGAACTGCCATTGCACCTTCCACAAAGAGAGAAGGGTCCCTTCTCTCTTTCAGGAAACTATATATGAAATAGTAGAAGATACTGTTGCTATAGATACTGTGAGATATTAATACATGGAGCTGGGTGAGGTGTTGATGCCTCAACTATGGGTTTCCAAGGCAATTACTTAAAGTTTAGTGTTGCTGCATTACTACACTAGCAGTGGAGGTTGGGGAGCTAACTGGACCTCGATACCTTCTCTCTCTCTCTCTCTGAGATTTTTGAGAGGAAGAGATGCAGAAAGAAGTGAAGAGGAGCTAGATCAGAACTTGGCTAAGAGCCACCCAGAACAGGGATCATAAATGCATCACAAGTCCCTCTCCCAATCTGAGCTGTACACACAGTACTTGCAACAAGCAACTAGAGCTGACCAGCTATTATCTTATTTGTTATCTTCCCTGTATTAAGAAAACAGGTATTAAATTGGGACCATCTAAATAAACAAATGCTCAAGGAATGGCGGGTATTAAGTGTTCTTTTCCGGGGGGGTTCTTTCATCATTAAAATATTGTTCCGGGGAACTTATTTTTTAACAAAATTTCATGCATATTAAAACAACAAATTTACCTTACATCAACAAGATCTAAAACAGTTGATTAAGAGATATTTGATCTTATATAAATGATTATTGATATATTTAATAGATCAATATTTTCATAAATTTTTTGTTTTATACTTTGAAATATATCAAACTATTATATATACTCTACGACCAACCGTATTGAAATACAAATTAAGTAGCTAGTGTGTGTGTGTGTATAACATGTGTTCTTTAAGAAAATACATTTGGAAAGGCATTGAGATTTTACCATAAAAAGTCTCTTTATAGTATTATTAATACGCCTTGCTGACTATTTTTAACAACTAACGCGAACATATTATGGTTTCTTTTGATCTTGATTACAAGCCTCAAAATAAGCTCTTATAAAGTGCAACTGTGCAAGTGCAGGCTCCCTCCCTTCCTCTGTCTTCCTGTGGTGCTAATCTGAAGGGTATACGAAAGAAGAACTCATCAGCAATAATGGCTGTGGGGTTGTGATCTCTAACAGCCTGTTTATCTTGTTCCTCGAATATGGCATGAAACAAAGGGTGGTAGCTTGCTGGCTAGCTACCAAGCCTGATCAATTAGGGTTCAACAATTAATATCCAAACAAAAAGTCCTTATCATGTACGTCGTCTTGCTCTTGAGAGAGGAAAAACTTGCTAAATGGCGAAAGCTAAATTGTACTAGTAAAAAATAAAGGCAAAATTACCCACTACCAATTATTGTATAACTGAATTTTAACAAGTCAAAACCTAACAAGCACATCAACTTATCCATACAGTAGCATTGGCATGTGGGATTGAGTAATGAGTTGTTAAACTGGAACTTGATTTTATAATGATAGATGGTAAGATCTGGAGGGTTTAAATGGTTGACCAACCTGCCGCTCTCTTTGTTAAATTAATATATATCATTGCTATTGATAATGTAACAAATAACTTTAATTTATTAGAAAGTTTGACTAATATATAGTTAGTTAAGTGGTCGACCTAATGATTCACAAATCCAAATCTTGATATAATATAATTTAGGGTTTCTTTCAAACTAAAAAACACATTCACATTTTAAAACACCATCATTCAACTAAAAAATACCTTCTTTATAAAGATTAACTATTTTCATTAAACATTTAAATCTCATTTTCTTTTTCAAAATAACTTAATAACATCTTGTTCTTGATTAACCATCATTGTATTTTTTTATTATAGGCTGATTGAGTTAGCACTTTCAAACGAATAAAATAGAACTACAAATCTTTAAATTGAGCAAGGATGGATTCAAATGAAACATATGCTTCTTCTTTACCAAGATTAGATGGTCTTCGATGACATTTATATCGAAGTTGCTCCGACGAAAACTTTAAAGTGGGGTAACTCAGTCATTGATTGTCGTGATAATATTTCACAAAACCACTATATAATCTTTTTTGTGTTTTCACACTTCAAGCCTTTTCAACTGATTCTTATCATAGATTATCCATGTTTCTTAAGATCAAAAGCCTATAAACATGCTTCTTGGTCTCTAAGTTTGAAAAACCATAAAAACTTTTAAGAACCAAGTTTGTTGTAAAACCACCTTTGTAAAACCAATATGGTACAAAACTCATAATGTAAAATATACTCCAAAACCCTCTTTTCTTGATCAAAGAGCTAAGTTTTAATTAATTTATGTTTCAACTATCAAAAACCCTAGTAAAACCCTCTTCTCTTAATCAAAGGGCTAAGTTTTACTTCTTCTATATTTGAATTCATTAAAAACTCTAGCAAAACTGTATAAATACCCTTACAAAATTAGAGCAAAAAGGATAAAAATGGGAGAAATGATTGATAAAGCAACTCTAAGTTGATAGTTATGGTAATACGGTTTGTTAAAACCAAGGAAGCATGTTTTAAAGGCATAAAAGGCTATTTTCTAGGTTTGGTAGCTTGATCTTTATTTTTGGGTTTGCTTGGTAGTATTTTTCTTGTTCTTGGAAAGAACATTGCCTTAACCATATCATTTAAACCAATTTTGGTTCAATTCTTTGTATAAAACTGATTAGTATTTAAAAGTATATTTTTATCAAGGTTTTATATCATCATTTTGCACTTGAAGTATCAATAACTCCTTAACTAAAGCATGTTTTATAATAATATATCTAAAAATATAAGATACCTTTAATTTGTGGTAAATATTCATTTTAAATACAGG